GTGAAACAGTTCTGTACATTATCTAGATTGACAAAAAAACATACATGCACAAGTTTGGCCGTCATTTTTTTTGACATTATCTAGATGGAAAGAAAAACATTACATTCTTATGGGACAAATTTGAGTTATACTTAGACATTACATGGATATAAAAAAGAAACAGACGCACCAGCTATACAAAAAATGGCCAGCACAACAGATTGCTTGTGTGCAGTATTGCTTGTGTGTGAGAAGAGGACTGGCTGTCACAGAGATGAACGCAACGACAAAAATGGCTCAGTACAGCAGAAAGGCCACACCCATCTCATGCCCAGCCCATGCATGTCCAGTACACACAATAGAAAAAGAAAAGAAAATACAACGGGCCGTTTGCACTCCTAAAACAGGCTGATACGACAAAAGACAACGACCCTAGCGAATCTTAAAGCTGCAAACAATCCATTGGCCAGGGACATCGACTGAGACATTGTAAAAACTCAGTCGACTGAGTTTTAGCACATCCGTCAAAGAATTGGTAAATCTTGTGCTCCTAACTTTTACATCCAAACAAGGAATTATATAAACCCGTCGTAACAGAAAAATAGCAAAAACCGATTTTGCTAAAAATCCTCCAAAAGCCTGTTTCCTATAATCTCACAACTAATTCTCATTATTCAAACAACCACTTAATGTTGTAGAGCAAATTTAACATCACCAGAGAACCATGGGACTATGTGGCTGTAGCAAAATTTGCATCAGCAAATGCTTTTTTTTACATCACCAAGTGCTCTAATTGATTTGTTGGAGTTGGAGATTTTTTATGATGAAAATACTACTTTTGGTGTATCATCTACTGGACATGCTCTTAATCCGCATACAAAATCATGTACACACACCCGTGCATGCTTAAAACATTGCCTGGCGCTCGATCGCTCATGGGCAGCTTGGCGCCCACCATCTGCCACTACCAAACAATGAACATCAATTCCATAACAACTAACGATTTCGTCTTTACTTCTCCCTAAAAAAATCATAATCACTTTCCACGTGGTCGCCGAAAGCCGCTTACATATGGGCCCCCTGCACACGGAGCGCACACAAAATTCCCTTCGGTCTCTCTCCGCCTAAGCTTTCCTCCTCGCCTCCTCCGCTTCCACCTAATTCGCGCGCGCCTCCGGGCTTCCTCCGCTCCTCTCCCGCCGTCCCTCCAGCGAGGAGTGAGGGCGGGCGGGCGGGACGACCCAGGCGGCGGCGGCGTCATGGAGGCAGCGGAGAGAGGCGGCGGGGCACTGCCGCTTGCCGTGCGGGAGCTCATCGCCGGCGGGGTCGCCGGTGGCGTCGCCAGGTCCGCCGTGGCGCCGCTCGAGCGCGTCAAGATCCTCCTCCAGGCACGTATGACCGATCCTCTATCTCCAGCGCAATTCATTCCGGCTCCTGATTACGCTCTCTCAGGATGGGGAATGCGATTCCTGAATATGCTCTATATCCTCGTCGAATGTTCCCGTGACATATTTTGCTACAATTTTAGATGCGATTTTGTGAGGTTGGTGTTACCAAAGAATCTTGGACGGTCGGCTCTCTGTCAGAGGAGGGCGCATGCTCCTCTTTCTTGCTAGGTTATGCAGTTCTTGTCGCCCGAAATAATGCAGCGAGGGTTTTGAGTCATCATCGTTAGATGCTTTCTAATGTGATAAGCTAGGCGGTAGCATTCGCATTCTCTCCTGGGTATGTGATTTAAAATTCGCACATGATCCTTAGATGGTTTATACTGTTACAGAGCATGTGCAGAATTCGGTACAAGTGTTTTGCAGGTTTTGGCATGGTTCTTTGCAACTTTGTTTTGTCGAAATATGCAATCTGAGAACTATTTGTATTGAACTATTTATGGATAAATGTCTTCAAGTGTTTGACACAAGTATGTGATGTATTAGAGTAGACACATACTACAAGTTAGGTGTGGATTTATTCAAACTGTGACCTCAGTTAATTCCTGCTCTCAAGGAAATTAAGTTCGGACCACTAATAAATGCAGATTTGGAAAAAATAAAATTGAGAATTGTTGGCTGTTAAATTGTAACCGAGGTTCTAGGTTGAGAAGCATTGGTATCCTCCTCAGTAAACTCTTGCTTCCTGAACTACTGCTTGATCGCAAATCCTATTTATGCTTAGCTCCAACAGTATTATTGAGTATATAATGATGAGATAAGGCAATGTCAATTCTTGAAATGAAAAACTTTGTAAGGAAGAAGTCCCTGGGGCTACTATTTTTTTTTTCTGGGAGGGGAACACTCATTGGGTATTGGTCAGAAAATCATGGTCTAGAAATATATTTGGAAGGAAAAAGGGCCTAGATTAGCAAACATCTGTGATTGAACTGATGTTAGCATGGAGTACTGCTAGTATATTTCTACTTTTGCAGTAACCTTGGATGAAGAGGATTAGGTTGTGGTCATGAAGAATATAATAATCTAACTAACTCTATGCAAAATGGAATCCCATGGGGATTTTCACACAGCAAAATTGGTCCCAACTTGAGTTACCTCCTGGCCAAACCATAATAATTCCAAATCACATGGTGTGCAACTGAAGAATGTTGCATTATGAGTTTTTCAAACAGCAGCATAAATTATCTGTTTTTTATGATCCTACTCTTAAACTGGTCATAGATCAAATGAGTAAACAAAAATAATTATATTCTCAGTTTCAACCACTTTGTTGGCACGACTTTGACATTTATGCTTGTACAGAACCACCTCCTTGCAACTTTGCATGGTAGTTGTTTAACTCTCGTATGGTTAAAATTTTCTGTTGGTGGTTTCAGACTAGAAGAGCAGAATTCCGTGGGTCTGGATTGGTTGGATCGTTTCGGACAATCTATCAGACAGAAGGTCCCTTAGGGTTTTACAGGTTTATTGCTTCTTAGTATATACGTAACAAATGTAGCCTAGCAATATATACTTGTATAGTGCAAACTTAAGCTGACTTTTGAATTGCTTTTCATAAGGGGCAATGGTGCCAGCATTGCTAGGATCGTTCCTTATGCAGCTTTGCATTACATGGCATACGAAGAGTATCGCCGATGGATCATTCTTGGTTTTCCTAATGTTGAGCAAGGGCCTGTTCTTGATCTAGTGGCCGGATCAATAGCTGGAGGAACAGCAGTCGTATCCACATATCCGCTTGATCTGGTTCGCACAAAGTTGGCTTATCAGGTTAGCTTAGTTCTTGTGTCCTTAACTGCAGAGGAAAACAATACTTCTCCAGTATGGTTCTATAAGTTCGCTTTTGATGTTGTTCTATGAAATAATATAACAGCAACGTTTTTGGGTGATACTGATGTTGCTGTGTTTGAGTGGATCTGTCTAGCTACTAGTTTGCTCTTAGTCTTATATGAGTATAGACTCATTTCGTTCAGTTTGTGGCACTGTACTGTTCAACTCAGCACTAAGTGATTAATAATCAGCTGCAGGTCAAAGGTGCAGTGAACCTCAGTTTAAGAGAATCTAAGCCCTCCGAACAGGTTTATAAAGGTATCCTTGATTGTGTGAAAACAATATACAGGCAAAATGGCTTGAAAGGCCTATACCGTGGCATGGGTACGCTATATTTTTTGTAATTCCAAATTTTGCTCAAGGCCAAGATTTCATTCTTGGGACAAAGGGCTTTGTTGTTATTGCCAAGATTTCATTATGTTGCTGTATTAACTAACTTCTTGTCCAGCTCCATCATTATATGGAATCTTCCCTTATTCCGGTCTTAAATTCTATTTCTATGAGAAGATGAAGACTCATGTTCCTGAAGAGCACAGAAAAGATATCATACCGAAACTTGCTTGTGGATCAGTTGCTGGTTTGTTAGGACAGACAATAACGTATCCCCTTGATGTTGTTAGGCGGCAAATGCAGGTATAATTACCTTCATTGTTTGTGGTTGTTAAACATCTTGGTTGTTCTAAAGAAGATTTTGATGCATTGGTTTTAGGTTCAGGCGTTCTCATTGTCCAACCTCGTGAAGGGGAAAGGAACATTTGGAAGCCTTGTTATGATAGCGAAACATCAAGGTTGGAAGCAACTGTTTTCAGGACTATCTATCAACTATTTGAAGGTGAGACACTTATAACACTAGTAACTAGTAATTGTGTACGCCCATTGTACATTAATATCAGGCAAGATATTAATTGATTCTTAATTGTATTGCATGTTATTAGGTAAGATGTAAATTGCATGTTAATATTAGATAGGATATAGTTACTCAGTTAACGCTGACATTGATATTAGGCATGATATTAAGGGAGGGCTGTAAATGTGTCTAGCGGTAAACATGTTTAACGTTAAACACCAGAGTGACGTAAACCATTGGATAGACATAGACGCGGTTGAACGGTTAAGATTTGTTGAATTTGTGCAACTCGCTCAGATATAGATAATTAATTGTCTTTAAAATGCCCATCTATTTGCTGACGACAAATGTAGACATATGTGGCTGGAACACAGCAGTACCCGTTTGTCGTCAGTGTGGGCAGCCTTGTACTTATTATAAAAAATTTAAAAAGGCTGGCCTATAACTTCTTGAGTGTACTGTCATTCCAAATCTCCACATTCCTTTGTTCATTTTGCACTTGTGCTGTTATGTCAATTTATTAATCGACTAGGCTCAGATTTTCTTGGCTCGGAATATTTCATTAACAATTGTTGCTCCCTCTATGTGATCATGCTTTAAGAAGTTCTAAATCGGAATATTCAGTGTATTTTTGTCTTGTGTCTATTTTATAGGTAAAATTAGTCCCATGCTTAACAACTATTGATGTATATAGTTATGCACATTGCATATGTAACATGTGTCTTCTTTGAAGTACAGTTTGTGTTCAAGGTGAAAGCATAATTTTTCTTAATTTCTCCTTTTTTTTACAGGTCGTCCCATCAGTAGCCATAGGGTTCACTGTTTATGACTCGATGAAGGATTGGCTTAATGTTCCATCTAGAGAGCAGGCAGCTGTGGTTGTCCCTGTGTTGTCAGAAGACGGAAGTAATGCTGCCCCTGTTCACTCCAGTTAGAACTAGTAGTTACCGTTTCTGGTGGCGCAACGCCTTCAGTGCCTTATATTCAATTGGCATGTAGGATGTAGCATAGTATTCTTTCTTGGAGCTGCACCCTTGCAGTTCTTAGGCTCGTCTCGTATAGTACAAATAATAGCTCTACCCTTCAATAAGCCCATAAGCAGCAGCTGCAGATGCCAAAAAAGAGAAGGTCTCGACTTTTATCAAGAGAAGTAGAAGTAGAGGTACTGAGGTAGAATTCCTTCCTGTCGAAGAAAGGTAGAATTCCTTGCTGTAAAGAAAAGCAAGTATAATTCCTTGCATCTTAGTATTGATTATTGTGGAAATTCACATTGTAATAGTTTCTGTATAAATGATCGGATAGTTTCTACCAACATGTAAACTTCTTGGTGAAGTCAGAATTCAGAGCCTTTTGCTGCCTCTGCCTATTGTAGTATGGGACCGGCTATACACAAGTCCCTGAAAATTTATTTCGGGTAAGCCGATTTTCTGAGCCATTAGATTGAGATCTGACAACTGTCCTTCTTTCTTCTTCCTCCTACAAAATTGACTTGACCAAGTTTTAAATGCAGTCAACTTTTGCGTTGTAGTATTACTTCTGATTTTTGCAGAACCAGGCTCTCTTATAAGGGCATGTACAATGGTTGATAACATAATCTTATCTTAAGTTTTGCATGTAATTTAGCGATGATAAAAATATATATTTACAATGGGTCATCTCTTAGTCTTATCTTCAATAATTAGTTATTTCTAAAAATATGGTGAGACATATTGTTTTAAGAGGTCATCTCTTGTCTTATTTTAAATAAGAGAAAACAAACCTTTTCTTATGATTTCTCTCTCCTCCACCTCATCATTTATCCTACGTGGCATTGCTAAGATAGAACCATTATGCATGCCCTAACTTGTTCTTCCACGTGGAGCTCTGAACCACGGTCCTAGCAACCCGCAAGGGTAGAAGTAACATAATTGCTTTAAAACGCAGTTGCGCTTTTTCGTTGTCTCAAGCGCACGCTCTTATCCCCCGTCTCTCTCCCTTCTGGTCCTAATGGATAATGAAAATAAAACCAACAAGGAGTCCACGGAGAGGACTTGACATGTAGGAAAAGCACATGTACTAAAAAAACACTTTCGATATGTGTTTGTCATAGTAGATCACATTTCCTGTCATGCATGTACATTCATGACGATTTTGTGACAGAATCAAGACAGTCAAACATGTGCTGTCGTAGAAGTGTTCCATGACAATACCAAAATTATCATCACTGAAGTGTCCATTTCCATGACGATAAATGACGCATTATGGAAGTGCTTTCATCAAGGGTAACCGACACGTGTCATCCACCGTAACAGGTCGCGGTTAAGCTATCAGGTCTAGTTTTAGATCCGATAACCCCTTAACAGCAACGATCAATGACGATTTTCCACGTGTAAAAATCTCATTGGCAGAAGGAACCACATGTCAACTCCGTGATTGGACAGATGTCATCCAGCCAATGGATGGGATGCGCCAATGATACGTCGACACGTGGCTTGGCCCAACAGTGGTCCATTTAGGTCAAAAGGTTGGCATGTTTGACTTGATCAAAAGGTAGCGGGTTGGGTCACAAAAGCCTGTAACGGCTTGTTCGCATATAGCCCATTTACAGCCCACTAACTCGTGACCCGTTATGGCCTATCCGAATTAGGCCTAGCAGCGTCATCTGGGCCCTCCAATATGATTCTAACCCGTCGTAACTTCCGACCCATGTATGGCCCATGATGTCTTTCGGCCCATATGAGGCCCTTTGTAAATCAGAGCCTTTTAAGGGCCCGTGGTGAAACTGACCCATAATAAATAGTGAATCGCTTTACACCCATTAACGACCCATTATTCCGTTGGGTCATTTCCATCCCATGTTACCTTTTGGCCTTCTAAGGGCCCATTTATTCTTGGGCTCATTTCCAGCATACGATTACTTACGGTCCGTTACTAGCATGTTCCGTTGATGGGCCAAATTCAGCCCGTGGTTACAGTCGGCTCGTTTGTGGTCCGTTAATCCAGTGGGCTGTTTTCATAGCGTCATCTAGTACTGCCATTAATGACACGTTATGCCTGTCGATAGAATTAAGCCCGTTATACATATTGGATGTATAAATTGCATGATGTATTGATTCAGTGCAATGTGCACGGTATATATAAGTACAAGGTGGGGCCTCTACCTCAATCTATACAACAAACTAGAGAGGTGGGCCTAGTCAATATACATGCACAAATAACATACTCAACACCCCCCGCAGTCGAAGCGGCACCGCAGCTGACGCAAAGACTGGACCGGAACTCCTCAAAAGACGCTGTAGGCAAGCCCTTGGTCATGATATTGGCAAATTGTTGGGAAGTAGGGACGTGTAAAACACGAATATGGCCAAGAGCCACCTGTTCCCGAACAAAGTGAATATCCAACTCAATATGCTTGGTCCGATGATGATGTACCGGGTTAGCGGAGAGGTAGAACGCCGAGACATTGTCGCAGTAGACCACCGTGGCACGGTCAACAGGGCAGGAAAGCTCCTGAAGCAGCTGACAAAGCCATGAATACTCGGCGACGACGTTGGCCACTGCACGATACTCAGCCTCAGCACTGGAACGAGAGACCGTAGGCTGCCGCTTGGACGACCACAAGATAAGTGAGGATCCAAGGTAGACACAATAGCCCGAAGTGGAATGACGAGTGTCAGGACTGCCCGCCCAGTCTGCATCGGAGTAGGCGGTGAGGGCAGTTTCGGTGGAGGCGTGAAGCGTGACACCAAGATCCATAGTGCCACAGACATAGCGGAGAATCCTCTTGACGGCAGCACAGTGAACGTCTCGAGAAGCATGCATATGAAGACACACCTGCTGCACGGCATACTGGATCTCCGGTCGAGTGAGGGTGAGGTACTGAAGAGCACCAACAATAGACCGATAGAAAGCAACATCCGAAGCAGGAGAACCATCCGTGGCAGAAAGCTTGGCCTTCGTATCAACATGCGTAGCGGTGGGCTTGCAGTTAAGCATGCCGGCGCGCTCCAGGAGCTCGTGAGTGTACTTCCGCTGATGGAGGAAGAAGCCATCCGGACAACGCACCACCTCGACACCGAGGAAGTAGTGCAAAGGGCTCAAGTCCTTGATGGCGAACTCAGCGCGAAGACGAGCCATGAGCTGACTGAGGAGACCAGCCGTACATGCCGTCAGGATGATGTCGTCGACATAGAGTAGCAAGTAGGTCGTGTCTGCGGTGGTGGGTATCCTCCGTACGACTGCGGAGCCGCGTATTACGCCTGGTGCGCCAGTGGGCGCGGCAGGGGAAGCATCGGTGCAGGAGCCCGTGGAACCGGCATGGTGTATGCATGGACGACACCGGTCCAGGGGTTGTAGCCGGAGGCCCATGGGGGCGGCACCTGGAGCTGTTGTGGCGCCTAAAACTGTTGCTGCTGTTAGCCAGCTTGCTGCGGCTGCTGCCGCGGACCGCCGCGGTGGCCACCGCGGCGCTTTTCAGCGGGAGGAGCGGGGGGCGCGGGTGGGCCGTACGGCAGTGGCAGGAGCCCCGGCTCCTGGGGCGCCAGAAAATGCGCCTGATGACACTGCTGGGTTGCCGGGGCAGCGGGAGGTACCGGAGGCCCGCCGCGGGTGGTGCCAGCGGCGAGGGCGGTGTGGATGGCGCGCGTCTTCACTTGCTTCATCCGCCGCTCCTCCAAGCGGAGATATGCAACGAACTTGGAGAAGGACGGGTTGGGGATGAGGCTGAGGTTCCCCGCGGCATTGCCGAAGTCCTCGTTGAGCCCGGCGGTGAGCGTGCTGACGAGGAGGTCATCATCGATCTTGGCGCCAATATCACGAAGCTCGTTAGCGAGAGTCTTAAGGCGGCGACAATAGTCGTCGATGGAGGTGTTGTCCTGATGACACCCAAAGAACTCTTGCTGCAGAAAAACGCGACGCTGGAGCTTGTTGTCGGTGAAGAGCCCGTTCAGCTTGGTCCACGTGGTGCATGCATCATCACCGTTCATCACGACCGTCTGGAAGAGGTCGGGCGTGATGGTGAGGAAAAACCAGTGGATGATCGTGGTGTCGATGGTGGACCAGTCATGAAACTCGGGGACGAGGCTGGAGTCGACGGTGCCGTCCACGTGGTCCATGAGATGATACTCCCGGAACACGAGGGAGAAATACGTCTTCCACGCATGGTAGGAGGAGTCCGCCTGGGAGAGACGAACCGGCACCCGCTCGAAGATGTTGAGCTTGCGGATGTCGTTGACATCGGGAAGGTTGGCGTCGGCGAACGGGTTTGAGTTGGTGAACACGGAGGAGGTGACTGACGACATGGCGCTCGGTGGCAGCAGCGGCTGACTAGGCGAGGTGGCTCGGCGCGGCCTGGCGAGCAGGATGTCTGGAAGGAGGTGCGAGCGAGCGATGGGATCGCGCGGGCGGCTGGCGTACCGAAGCGATCGGGACAGCTGGCTGGCGGGATGCAACGCTGGCGAGGCTGGTGGGTCGGGCATAGCTAGCGGAGCCGGGGGGAGCGCGATCTCGCAGGCGGCTGGCGTACCGAAGCGATCGGGCACGAGCGAGATGGCGGGATGCGACGCGGGGTTAGCACGCGCGGGCGGGCCGTGGAGCGATGCGACATGCGGATAGCGCGCGCGTGACGGGCGGCGGCCGACGCTGGGGTGCGGTGGCGGCAGCGCGGGAGGAGGCGCGGCGGCGGAAGCTAGGGGTTTAGAACCTTAAAAACTGATACCATATTGGATGTATGAATTGCACGATGTATTGATTCGGTGCAATGTGCACGGTATATATAAGTACAAGGTGGGGCCTCTACCTCAATCTATACAACAAACTAGAGAGGTGAGCCTAGTCAATATACATGCACAAAGAACATACTCAACAATACATACCGGCCTATTAATGGCCCATTATGGTCGGCCCATAAACAGATGGTTCCCATTCTAGATCGTTTACGGCCCACATTGCGGACCAC